TATAATAAGGATGGGAGACATTTTCTCAAGTGCTTTAGACATGTTAACAGGAGGGACCAGTCCCTGAATGACACCATGCTTAGAAAAGTATAGGGGCATTGAAAAACAGGAAGAAATTTAACCAGATGGATTGACGACAATGGCTACAACAAATTTTCAAGGACTGGACAGTATTTCACACAGCTGAAAATATGATCACTATGAGTCAGAACTGACTTAATAGCAGCAACAATTCCTCACTTACCTACTATTACATCCTCCAGCATTTTACATTATTTGCAGCCTTAGTAAAAAATCTGCTATTCAATTATTTTGTGCAGTAATGACTTTGTCCAGCAATAACGAATAACATGGTAAAAGTAACTCTAGTTGTGATACTCTAGGTTATGTGTCAACTAGCTGGGTCATGATTCCAAATTGTTTGGCTGTTATGTAATGATATAATTTGGCATAATAATTTAATTTGATAGTTTTAGAAATGGTCATCCTTCATTTTTGCATTTTCATATAATGGCCTGGTCTTTAGAACCTAACCATGTCAAAAGGTGAGGAGTGGGCACTTTTGAAACAGTTCCTTTGAAAAAAAAAATTTACAAATGAAGCCTCTGCTAAACTAAGACATAGAACAGAGGACAATGAAAAGCAGGCAGGCTGTCTGGGTTAAGTTCCACTTCCACTCTTTACTAGCGGAGTCACCTTTCTTCGGTACATTTTCTTACCTGCTAAATAAGGATTTTAAGAAAGCATGCCCCATGTGGTTGTTGTAAAGTCAAGTATAACCACTAGAACCATTTTTTTTCATCGTATATATACTTTGATTAGATTTATAATGTAGTAAATGTTATAAAACCATTTATATATATATGAAATGTTTGTTTACTTTTACTTGTTTATTTCTTTGATTATTATGTCATTTGGACAATAAAAAGCTTTTTGGAGGTTACATGGCCCGCTACACTAAGTGCACATTTCTAAAATGACTTTCAAAGACTTGAAATTAGTTATTTTCTTCCCCCATCCCCCAAAAAATATGGCATAGAAGCAATCAAAGGGGATACCCTCCAGTACAGGATAGTCATACATGTAATTTTAGACATACTATTAGCCAGCTGTAACCTTATTACATTGGAACCTTGTTTTTAGCAAGAAAATATATTCAATTGTATATGGGCTCTCCATATGGTGAGCATAAGCCACTTAAAAGGGGGTATTTAAATAGAGGTCCCCAAGCACTGAGGTTAAAAAGAATCTAGGAATTTGGAAAAGGATATCAATGATGGTTGTGCAATATGAAGAGTATTATTAATGGCACTGAATTATACTTATCTTTCTCTCTTGGAGATGCTGGTGGTTTCACACTGCTGGCCTTGAAGTTAGTAACCCAATGTGAAATCCACTACGCCACCCCTAAAAGTAGCAGCTAAGGATTTATGGAGCAAGAAAATTTAAGTAAATTTGTTCCGCCTCTTGAAAATTGGCAAAGTTCTCATTTTCCCCCACAGCGTGCAAAAGTGAATAAATATAAGGCCGGGAGGAACGGAACAGTTGCCCCTAAGAAACCTTAAACATGTTACTTTCTAGCTTTGGTTTTTGAATGATAAAAATTTTGAAATCGAACCAAATAATCTGTTAATTCAAGTCCACATTGTGAAACCTATAAATACTGTCGCAGATTACAAATTCATCATTAAGAGTTATAATTAAGATACTGGGGAGCAAAACTGAAATACATAGATGGTGATGGACTGTAATCCCAGCCCTATAACTCTCTTTGCATTACTGGGGAAAATCACTCCGCAAGGTAAAGTTTAGGATCAGTGAAGCAGCTATTACTGGTCATCCCTTTTATTCTCATCACTGAAAAATGGTTGGGTTTTTCTCCCTAACAGGTTTCATTTCTAACCAGCAACAGTTTTCATTCAGTCTTGGAAACTCAAAAGAACCTTGTAATTCATCTTTTATAAGTTTTCAGATAATGAAAAGAGGCTGATCAAAGAATTAGCTGACCTTAACACCATATTCAAGAATGAAATCATTCTTAGAGTTCACAAAGTTCATGTTCAGCATTCTACTGAGATGAGTAGCATCTGGAAAGTAGCCATCTAAAATACAACTATTGGTCTCTTCTTGTCTGGAACAAAATAGAAAAAAAAAAAAGCCAAGTCTCAGAGATGAATCTAGTCTACGGCTTACAAGCCTACAGAAGCCACAGGCTCCTCTACCCTGAGAGCAGAACCAAATGGTGGCCAGCTACCACTACTTACCATTCTGATCAGAGCCACAATAGCTGGGCCCTGGTAGAATAAAAGAAAAACACACAACAATTCACCGAAAATTTGACAATTCTCAAGTTCTTTGAAATTCCAGACTGACTGAACCAATTGAGACTAAAGGACTTGCTGATAGTAGCATCCTGCTGTTCTCGTTAATTCTTAAACCAAAACTATCTAGATGTTATCTTTCTGAGAAATTAATAAATTGGCACACCAAAAAAACTAATTTTATTGCCTTTTATTATACTGTATTTCACAGATACTGCATTTCTTACTAAATGAAGGTGAATAACACCCTTGGGTTGAGCATATCTGCCAGTGCTATTTTTCCAATAGCATGCATTCACTGCATGTCTGTCACATTTTCATAATTCTCATATTTAAGCTTTTTCATAATACTATTACACACATCATAAACTACAGTACAGTGTGTTTATGTAACTTTTTACACAAATAGGGAAACGAAATTCATACGACTTGCTTTATTACAGTGGTCTCGACCCAAACTCACTATATCTCTGAGAAAAGCTTGTACTCACAGGATAATGCTGTGCCTGTGAGTATAATGCCCCATTAAAAAACCAATGAGACCTGGCAGGGAAACTAGAGTATAGGACAGGAAATGACCAGAATACAATTAAAGAAAATGCTGACCAACTGTAAAAATTACAACTAATATCACTGAGTGTATCTGTTATGTATCAGTTGTCAAGTAGAAACTGTAAAGTTTCATTGAAAACACAATATGCCTAGTTTATTTTAAGGAGCTATTACAAAATTCCTCTCCCCCACCAAAAAAAAATATTCTCACTCCTAAAAGAAGTAAATCATTCAATAAATTAATTTTGAGCACCTATGCCACACAACAATTTGTGCTAACAATGCAAATAAAGAACTTCTTTTAAAAAGTCCCAAAATCTGGTGGAGCACACACTATCAACTGACAAATGCTAACTGGGGAATGAACAATATACAATTGGATGTAGTATAGGGCAATTCTCTTACTAGTCAAGACAATGAGGATGAAGTGTCTAGAGCAATCATAAAGTGATATTTCAGTTAGGTCTTGGAGGCAGAGTTGTCAACCAGGTAAAGATAGAGAAAAAGAAATTTCTAAGGAAAGGGAAAAGGCTAAGTAAAGCCATAAAAGAACAGATCATCTACAAAAAAACTCCCAAGTATCCTTATGGGAAGAGTATCCTGGTAGAAGATGAAACTGAAAATGCAGGCAAGTCCCACAATTGGGAAGAACTTTGAATTCAATCAACACATGACACAGAAAGTCATGGAAGGAAGGACTTTTCAACATTGAATCAAAGTCCCCCTCTTCTACTAGTCAGTGAAGATGGATCAAGATAATGAACAAATAAACAAAATGAAAGAAGGTCTGGGGTTTGGAAAAGGAGAATAGTGGTTTAAAACAGGAGGGGCGTCCGGCTCTTTGGATGACTTCTAGCAGCTTCTTACCATGGCACATTAATATAATATTGATCTAGGTTTTAAGAAAATGTTTCAAGAGAAAGCGTGTATTTTTATCCAGACTATTTAAAGTCAATGCTGTTGGGAACGCTAAAAAAAACAACCAAGTAAGAAACAAGGAACGAGTAGAGAAAATTAAAAAAGGTCTAAGAACTTGGCTGACTTTAGAAAATGTGTGAATCCTTATTATATATTGATTACAGATAGCAAGACACATTTAATGACGTTTACAAAGAAAGAGTATTGTAAGGCTGAAGAGCTGTCACCACTAAATCTCTTTAAAACCAGGTGAAAAAGAAACGATGCTTCCAAAGAACTGCCAAAGTCAATAGGTCTCATTAATATTTTACTACTGGGGGGTAAGAAATGCCTTTAAAAACAGCTCTTTCTAAAAGTCGAACAATTCTCCCAAGACGACATCCTCGTTGTAATAAAAGAAAAATTTCAAATAAATAAAATAAAAGGTTCACAACTCAATCTATCTCACCTACAAGAATGAAACACTCAAGATGCCAATCTGGGGCCACGAGGAGTCCAGAGATCAGTACTGCCCAGACTGCCCAGGCCCTCGTCTAGTAACTGAAAGTTAAATTAGCTGGGTAGTTCAGAGACGAATTGGCAGTTCCTGAAAAATTCAAACTCGAGCTTAGCCGAGAACGTTTTTCTACAGGAATCAGCGCGCCTATCCTCCTGATAACAAAGCGGATGCACTAAATACAAACAAACCAAAAACAGTCTCATAAAAATAACATGCCGAAAGAGGGGGGGCGGCGGGGGAGGAGAGCATCTGTACCTATGGCAACCATGTGGTCCAGGAAAGTTCAGTCTCGGGAGGTGTTCAAGGTGTGTCTTTGTTTGGGCTTAGCAATGAACAACACTTAAAAAATAATAATACAGAAAACAGAAAAGGCCACGGCTGGGCACCTCGGTACTTTCCGCGCTCGGGCTTCGCGAGCATCCTGGCTCGGAAATCCCAGCGCACCGCGGCCTCGCCCCGTTTCTCCTCAGAGCAAGGCGCGGCCTCGCGGCCCGGCTCGCCTGTCACGGCCCGGGAGGCGGGGTTCGGGGAGCGTTCGGCCTCCCGGGTCCCTCGGACGCTGCCCCGCGCGGCTCGGCTCGAAGGCAGGGGTCGCCTTGGAGGACGCCGGCGCCACCGCCTCCCCGAGGTCTCGACCTCCGCGCCCCCCGCCCCGGGGCACAGCCGCCAGCGCCCGCCCCCCGCTGCCCCGACGTCCAGTCAGTTCTCACCCCGCAGAGGTCGCGCTGCCTCAGCTGGGCCGCAGCCC